TCCAAAGAGCACATTGACTGGCCTAAAGAGAAATGGCACAACATTTTGTGGACTGATGAAAGTAAGATTGTTCTTTTTGGGTCTAGTGGCTGGAGACAGTTTGTCAGACGCCCCCCAAACACTGAATTCAAGCCACAGTACACTGTGAAGACAGTGAAGCATGGTTGCGCAAGCATCATGATATGGGGATGTTTCTCATACTACGGTGTTGGGCCTATTTATCGCATACCAGGGATCATGGATCAGTTTGAATACATCAGAATACTTGAAGAGGTCATGCTGCCTTATGCTGAAGAGGAAATGCCCTTGAAATGGGTGTTCCAACAAGACAACGACCCAAACACACCAGTAAATGTGCAACATCTTGGTTCCAGACCAACAAGATTGACGTTATGGAGTGGCCAGCCCAATCCCCGGATCTTAATCCAATAGAAAACTTGTGGGGTGACATAAAAAATGCAGTTTCTGAGGCAAAAACAAGAAATAAAGAAGAACTGTGGAATGTATTCCAATCATCCTGGGCTGGAATACCTGTTCACAGGTGCAAGAAGTTGGTTGACTCCATGCAACACAGATGTACAGCAGTTCTCAGAAACAGTGCTTATACAACTAAATATTAATTAAGTGATTCAAAGGAAAGCAAAGTCTTCAAACATTTTTCAGTTTATACACCGTGTTCCAAATTATTATGCAAATGATATTTTTCTCATTTACCTAAATAATTGATGTAAATAACAGTCAGCATAATTCTCATGTTATCAACTATTAAGAGTACAATTCAAATTTTATTGAACAAACCTCCTAATGATAACAGTAGTTTTTTTAAACATAACAAACTTCCAATGCACTGTTCCAAATTATTACGCACAGTAAGTTTCAAAACACTTTATAGGTTGTAAAGAACTGAAAATTGTCATTTGTTGTGTTTGCAGCATATTTACTGAAATCAAAAGCTATTTCAATCAAACTTTTAACAACATTTTAACTTTTTAAACATTTTAACAGGTCACATTACATTTTAACATAGGACCCCTTATTTGATAGCAGCTTCACAAGTCTTGCATCCATTCAACTTGTGAATTTTTGGACAGTTTCTGCTTGAATTTGTTTGCAAGATGTCAGAATAGCCTCCCAGAGCTGCTGTTTGGATGTAAACTGCCTCCCACCCTCATAGATCTTTTGCTTGAGGATGCTCCAAAGGTTCTCAATAGGATTGAGGTCAGGGGAGGATTGAGGCCGCACCATGACTTTCTCTCCTTTTGTCCCCATAACAGCCTGTCAGGAATGAACTGGCCAGCAATGGTGGGACTCACCTGCCTTTTGATCTGCAGTACCAGGGCTGGCCAGCGGGTGCTCCCAGCAATCAGAGACTCAACTTTGCAGCCAGCTAACACCTGGAACTGATTATGCTGGGGTATTTAAGGGATGGCCAGACCCACAGACTCTGCCTTGGTGTGTGTTTGTCCTGGGCCCTGTATCCTGTTTCTGTCCTGCATCCTGTTTCTGAACCGCTGCTGACTTCTCCTGCTCTGATCCCGGCTCGCTCCTGACCATCCCTCTGTCTGACCCTCTGTACCACGCTGCTTGCTACCTGTTCTGATCCCTGGCTTGTGACCCTGACCATCCCTCTGCCTGACCCTCTGTACTACGCTGCTTGCTACCTGCTGAACCTGGCCTGTGACCCCAACCAATCTCCGCTTGCTCCCCCTGTACCTACCTGCCCTATTGATATTGACCCGGCCTGCCTGACGACGCTTGCTTGTATGTACTGTTATCTGTGGGTGGTTTTGGTTTGGTTTGTTTGCACTGTATTATGTTTTAGTATTGCACTGCGTTTATGTTTGTATTGTTAGTGTTAATAAATTATATTGTTTATAACATATCTGAGGTCTGCGTTTCCCTGCGTCAGTCACACATCTCTGGTCACACCTGGGAGCCCTGACATTACACCAAGGCCAATCCTGACCAGAAGTGGCTGCACAGGGAAGCCATCTTGGCTTGTTGCTGGGAAGGATGGATCTGGATGAGGTTGAGTATTTATATCTGCTAGTGTTTGATGACAGGGAGTATGCTTATCAAACTCTGAAGGAGTATCCCCGGGATCAACTACTAGAATGTATACGGCTCGCTCATGTTCTAGTAGATCAGGGCACAGAGTTCTCTGAGGTGCAGCCTTTGATTGAGGTTTGTGCTGAGTTGGTTTCATCTGGTTCCCCCGAATGCAGGGATGAATTTTTGCCACCATTTAGTGCAGACCAGGTAGAGTCCCTGGTGTGGTTATTAGAGGATGATGTGGGTTACTTTCTGGAGCGTTATTCCACATGTTCACCACAGGTACTAAGAGATTGTATAAACGCAGTGCAGTCATTGACCAGACAGGCTTTGTGTAAGCTCAGCTTTGTTCAACCCATACTGCAGACATGGACAGACTTGTTGCACCCAGCCTCAGTCAGCTTACAAAAACCCAGTCCTGCTTCTAACTCTACTCCTGTATTCCCACCAGCTCCTCCAGTTACAGCCCAGTATACTTGGCTATCTACCGCATGTCAGTACCCTGTTCCCACTCGCTGCACCTATCCTGCCTTTAACCCTGTAAAAAAGAGCCCTCTGTAGCAACTGCTCCCTCTCCTGTTCCATCCTCCAGTTTTTTCTCTGTCTCCAGCTGCTCCATTCGTTTGCAGACCTGCGTTTACTTGCAGTGCTCCAGTAGTTAAAAACCAGAAAAAAGCGAAAATTCTTTCCAACCAATACCATCCTGCCAGTATCCAAACCGGTGAACCTGCCTTCCGTGGTTCAGCCGGATGCCTCTCTTCAGCCGGATGCCTCTCTTCAGCCGGATGCCTCTCTTCAGCCGGAAGCCTGTACTCAGTCTGATGCCTGCATTCAGCCTGATGCCGCTACTCAGCATGATGAACTGATCCAGCCCGACGATCCTATTAGGCCAGTTGACTCGATGCCCGCTGTTGATCCAGATGATCCGGTACCTGATCCAGTGCCCGCTGTCGTGCCAATTGACTCAGAGCCCGCTGTCATACCTGGTGACCCGATGCCCGCTGTCGAGCCAGACAATCCGATACCTGATGACCCGGTGCCCACTGTCGTGCCTGTTGACTCGGAGCCCACTGTCTTGCCAGACGACTCGGTGCCCGCTGTTCCGCCAGACGACTCGGTGCCTGCAGTCTTGCCAGACGACTCGAAGCCTGCTGTTCCGCCAGTTGGCTCGGTGCCCGCAGTCTTGCCAAACGACTCGTGCCCGCTGTTCCGCCAGTCGACTCGGTGCCCGCAGTCTTGCCAGACGACTCGGTGCCCGCAGTGCCAGACGACTCGGTGCCCGCAGTCTTGCCAGACGACTCGGTGCCCGCAGTCTTGCCAGACGACTCGGTGCCCGCAGTCTTGCCAGACGACTCGGTGCTCGTAGTCTTGCCAGACGACTCGGTGCCCGCAGCCTTGCCAGACGACTCGGTGCCCGCAGTCCCGCCAGTTGACTCGATGCCCGCTGTTCCGCCAGTTGACTCGGTGCCCGCAGTCTTGCCAGACGACTCGGTGCCCGCAGTCTTGCCAGACGACTCGGTGCCCGCAGTCTTGCCAGACGACTCAGTGCCCGCTGTTCCGCCAGTTGACTCGGTGCCCGCAGTCTTGCCAGACGACTCGAAGCCTGCTGTTCCGCCAGTTGGCTCGGTGCCCGCAGTCTTGCCAGACGACTCGGTGCCCGCTGTTCCGCCAGTCGACTCGGTGCCCGCAGTCTTGCCAGACGACTCGGCGCCCGCAGTCTTGCCAGACGACTCGGTGCCCGCAGTCCCGCCAGTTGACTCGATGCCCGCTGTTCCCCAGCTGTTCCGCAGTTGCCAGACGACGGTGCCCGCAGTCTTGCCAGACGACTCGGTGCCCGCAGTCTTGCCAGACGACTCGGTGCCCGCAGTCTTGCCAGACGACTCGGTGCCCGCAGTCTTGCCAGACGACTCGGTGCCCGCAGTCTTGCCAGACGACTCGGTGCCCGCAGTCTTGCCAGACGACTCGGTGCCCGCTGTTCCGCCAGTTGACTCGGTGCCCGCAGTCTTGCCAGACGACTCGAAGCCTGCTGTTCCGCCAGTTGTGCTCGGTGCCCGCCGTTCTTGCCAGACGACTCGGTGCCCGCAGTCTTGAGGGCCCGCCAGACGACTCGGTGCCCGCTGTTCCGCCAGTTGACTCGGTGCCCGCAGTCTTGCCAGACGACTCGGTGCCCACTTTCGTGCCTGGTGACTCGGTGCCCGCCGCTTCCTCTGGCCCGATGCCTGGGCCCGCCCCGCCGCTCCGCCTGAGGGGGGCCCGAGGCCTGAGACCTGTAGTTCCGCCTGGGGGTCCGGCGCCCGCCGCTCCGCCTGAGGGCCCGAGACCTGTCGCTCCATCTGGGGGTCCGGCGCCCGCCGCTCCGTCTGAGGGCCCGAGACCTGTAGTTCCGCCTGGGGGTCCGCGCCCGCCGCTCCGCCTGAGGGCCCGAGACCTGTCGCTCCATCTGGGGGTCCGGCGCCCGCCGCTCCGCCTGAGGGCCCGAGACCTGTAGTTCCGCCTGGGGGTCCGGCGCCCGCCGCCCCGCCTGGGGGCCCGAGGCCTGTCGCCCCGCCTAGGGGTCCGATGCCTGTCGTCCCGCCTGGGGGCCCGATGCCTGTCGCCCCGCCTGGGGGCCCGATGCCTGTCGCCCCGCCTGGGGGCCCGATGCCTGTCGCCCGCCTGGGGCCCGTGCGTCCCCGCCTGGGGGTCCGATGCCTGTCGCTCCATCTGGGGGTCCGGCGCCCGCCGCTCCGCCTGAGGGCCCGAGACCTGTCGCTCCATCTGGGGGTCCGGCGCCCGCCGCTCCGCCTGAGGGCCCGAGACCTGTCGCTCCATCTGGGGGTCCGGCGCCCGCCGCCCCGCCTGGGGGCCGATGCCTGTCGCCCCCGCCTGGGGGCCCAAGGCCTGTCGCTCCATCTGGGGGTCCGACGCCCGCCGCTCCGCCTGAGGGCCCGAGACCTGTCGCTCCATCTGGGGGTCCGGCGCCCGCCGCTCCGCCTGAGGGCCCGAGACCTGTCGCTCCATCTGGGGGTCCGGCGCCCGCCGCTCCGCCTGAGGGCCCGAGACCTGTAGATCCGCCTGGGGGTCCGGCGCCCGCCGCTCCGCCCGGGGCCCGAGGCCTGTCGCCCCGCCCGGGGGCCGAGGCCTGTCGCCCCGCCCGGGGGCCCGGTGCCTGTCGCCCCGCTCGGGGGCCCGGTGCCTGTCGCCCCGCCCGGGGGCCGGTGCCTGTCGCCCCCGCCCGGGGGCCCGGTGCCTGCCGCTCCGCCCGGTGGCCCGATGTGCCTCTGCCCGGAGTCCGGCCCGATGTGCCTCTGCCCGGAGTCCTGCCCGATGTGCCTCTGCCCGAGTGCAGCCCTATGTGCCTCTGCCCGGAGTCCAGCCCGATGTGCCTCTGCCCGATGTGCCTCTGCCCGGAGTCCAGCCCGGTGTGCCTCTGCCCGGTGTGCCTCTGCCCGGTGTGCCTCTGCCCGGAGTCCAGCCCGATGTGCCTCTGCCCGGAGTCCAGCCCGATGTGCCTCTGCCCGGAGTCCTGCCCGGTGTGCCAGTCTTTGATATCCCGCCAGTTACCAGACCCGGGCGGTGGAACATTTTTCCCAGCTAGGACTGTTTGGAGCGTCCTGAGGCCGCTCCTTGAGGGGGGGGGTACTGTCAGAATGAACTGGCCAGCAATGGTGGGACTCACCTGCCTTTTGATCTGCAGTACCAGGGCTGGCCAGCGGGTGCTCCCAGCAATCAGAGACTCAACTTTGCAGCCAGCTAACACCTGGAACTGATTATGCTGGGGTATTTAAGGGATGGCCAGACCCACAGACTCTGCCTTGGTGTGTGTTTGTCCTGGGCCCTGTATCCTGTTTCTGTCCTGCATCCTGTTTCTGAACCGCTGCTGACCTCCTGCTCTGATCCCGGCTCGCTCCTGACCATCCCTCTGTCTGACCCTCTGTACCACGGTGCTGGCTACCTGTTCTGATCCCTGGCTTGTGACCCTGACCATCCCTCTGCCTGACCCTCTGTACTACGCTGCTTGCTACCTGCTGAACCTGGCCTGTGACCCCAACCAATCTCCGCTTGCTCCCCCTGTACCTACCTGCCCTATTGATATTGACCCGGCCTGCCTGACGACGCTTGCTTGTATGTACTGTTATCTGTGGGTGGTTTGGTTTGGTTGTTTGCACTGTATTATGTTTTAGTATTGCACTGCGTTTATGTTTGTATTGTTAGTGTTAATAAATTATATTGTTTATAACATATCTGAGGTCTGCGTTTCCCTGCGTCAGTCACACATCTCTGGTCACACCTGGGAGCCCTGACACAGCCATTGATGCAGAGGTATTATTTGCAGCATGAGATGGTGCATTGTCATGCATGAAGATAATTTTATTACGGAAAGCATAGTTCTTCCTTCTGTATCAGGGAAGAAGTGGTCAGTCATAAACTCCACATACTTTGCAGAGGTCATCTTTACACCTTCGGGGTCCCTAAAGGGGCTGACCAGCTCTGTTCCCATGATTCCGGCCCAAAACATGACTCCACCACCGCCTTGCTGCTGATGTTGCAGCCTTGTTGGAACAGGGTGGCCGTCCACCAACCATCCACTACTCTATCCATCTGGACCAGCCAGGGTTGCACGGCACTCATCAGTGAACAGGACTGTCTGAAAATTAGTCTTCAAGTATTTTTCTGCCCAATGCAGCCGTTTCTGCTTGTGAGCATTGGTTATTGGTGGCCAAATAGAAGGTTTATGCACAGTTGCAAGACACTGGAGGACTCTACACCTTGATGTCCGTGGGACTCCAGAGGCACCAGCAGCTTCAAATATCTGTTTGCTGCTATGTAATGGTATTTTAGCAGCTGCTCTCTTGATCCGATGCAAGGATCTGGCAGAAATCTTCCTCAATGTTCCTTTATCTGCACGAACCCGTCTGTGCTCTGAATCAGCCACAAATCTCTTAATAGTGCGATGATCACGCTTAAGTTTTCGTGATATATCTAATGTTTTCATACCTCGTCCAAGGCATTGAACTATTTCACTCTTTTCGGCAGCAGAGAGATCCTTTTTCTTCCCCATATTGCTTGAAAATGGTGCTCTGCTTAATAATGTGGAACACCCTCCTTTAGTAGTTTTTCCTTAAATTGGGCTTACCGGCCAATCTAATTATCACAGGTGTCCGAGATTGTTTTCAGTGATCAAAAGAGCCCTGACACACAATGCCATCCATGAGTTAAACTGAAAAACAAAATATTTAATCTTTGTGACACTTAAATAGAATTTGCATAATAATTTGGAACACAGTGTATAGTGAATGTTTGAGTTTGTAAAGAAGAATACAAACACTGCTATTTTTTTGAACAGTCTAATATTCACTTTTCTTAAATTTTTTTGTAGAGGAACAACACAAATTTGATATAATTTTCTTCATGTTTTGATTTGGAAAAGAATGTGTAGTGTTCCCAATGCATTTGTGTCTATGGAAATAAAAGCTATTAGAATGATTTTGAGCTTTATTCACTTTTTTTTCAACACACTACTATTATTTTTTGAACACAACTGTATGTGTATACCCAGCTTTAATATGCACTGAGATGGATTAAAGGAGAAGTGTGGGATTAAAAAAACAAACATACATACCTCCCTGTCTCCCATTGGCTCTATGCCTGAGAATTGAGCAATTACATGACCGATGATCGCTCGGTTCTCTGTCTGCCTGGAGTAAAGGGCAGAGTCAGGAGCCGCTGCAGCGTGTGGCTCGGCGCAGGCGCAGTGTGCCGACTCGCACTGGTGTACGGGCACTAGGTCCTGGCCGGCCGCTGCGACGATGGAACTCGCGCATGCGCACTCGGGACCGCAGGTGTGCGCCTGGCACCAATGACAGCACAGGGCGCGGTATTTAAAATCTGCTCTGCGCTGATACTGGTTGCCGTATGGTCTCTTCTGTTTGTTCCTGCTCCTGTATCTGTGCTGATTGATCGTTGCTGACCCGGATTGTATCTGACCGTGCTGTATTCTCCTGCTCTGACCCCTGGCTTGCCTGACCTCTCTTTTGGATGCCCCTCATTGGATCTGACCTTTTCTATAGAAAGTTTATCAGGAACTTCTCTGGTCTGGTGTCCCCCATTACCCAGCTTACCAAACGGGGTCCATTTCAAGTAGACACCCGAGGCTCAAACAGCGTTTGAAACCCTGAAGGGATTATTCACCACCGCTCCCATTCTTAGTCATCCTGATTCCTCCCTGCCATATTTCTTGAAAGTTGATGCTTCGGAAAACGCAGTGGGGGCCGTCTTGTCCCAGAGAAAAGGCACCAGGGAACTCCTGCACCCAGTGGCGTTCTTCTCGAGGAAACTTACACCAGCGGAAAGGAACTACGATATTGGGGATCGAGAACTTTTGGCCATCAAGACCGCACTGGAAGAATAGAGATACTTGCTGGAAGGGGCCACGCATCCAATTCTGATCTTCACTGATCACAAAAATTTTGAATACTTGAGAACGGCAAAACGCTTGAGACCACGCCAAGCTGGATGGGCACTCTTTTTCTCCCGGTTCTCATTCCATATCACGTGTAGGCCCGGGGGTCCAAGAACACGAAGCCCGACGCCCTTTCGCGCATGTTTTGAAGACCCTGAAGAGGTCCCCAAACCAGATACTATCTTGTCCTCAGGGAACTTTCTTGCCCTCCAAATGGAGCTACATTTTAGGCTACAGAATGCATCCATGGGAATGCCACACCCTACAGAGGGAGGGCTCTTATGGAAGAAAGGGCTAATCGTGGTACCCAAAGAGGTCCAAACCTTGGTCCTGGGAGACTGCCATGACCATCCGATGGCAGGTCATTTCGGGATGGTAAAAACTCTAGAATTACTCCAGCGCACATTCTGGTGGCCAGGCATGGCCAATCATTGCGAACACTACGTCAAGACCTGCGCCACCTGTCAGAGGAACAAGTCCTCCAGGAGCAAGGCCTGGGGGTTACTACGTCCCCTGCCTATTCCTGACCGACCGTGGCAAATGATTGCGATCGACTTTATAGTTGAGCTCCCTCCGTCTCAGCACCACACCGCAATCTTCTTAATTGTGGATCGCCTGTCGAATTTGGCCTACTTTTTGCCTCTTAAGAACACGCCCTCGGCTCTGGAAACGGCGTAAATCTTCATAAGAGAAGTTGTAAGACTTCATGGAGTTCCTGAAGGCATTGTTTCAGACCGGGGAGTCCAGTTTACCTCGAAGTTCTGGAAAGCGTTATGCGAGGTGTTGGGAATCAGATTGTCCCTCTCTTCCGCCTACCACCCACAGATGAATGGGCAGACGGAGAGGACAAATCAGACGTTGGAGCAATACTTGAGATGCTACACGTCCTTCCTGCAGGACGATTGGCTGGCACTCTTGCCACTGGCTGAATTTGTGTATAACAACGCAAATCATTCAGCTACGGGGCATTCCCCATTTTTTGCAAACTATGGGTTCCATCCCACATTTCTACCCGATCTGATTCCTGAAAGCCCAGTTCCTGCCACTCAAAGCACCCTGAATTTTTTTTCTGCCAACAACAAGGTGCTTCAAGAAGCCATTGCAAAAGCCCAGGAGGACAACAAGAGGGCCTTCGACAGGAAGAGAAGGGGGGAACTAGTATTGCAACCTGGGGATCAGGTCTGGCTAGCGGCAACAAATTTGAAAATGTCTTGCACGTCAAGAAAGCTAGGGCCGAAGTTTATGGGTCCATTCCGTGTGAAACGAATGATCAACAAAGTTGCGTATGAACTCACTCTTCCGGAAACTTTTAAGATTCACCCAGTTTTCCATGTGTCGCTACTGAAGCCAGCTACACCAGACCCCTTCCCGGATCAGAGGTCCAGACCCCCGGAAGCAATAACCATCGATGATCAAGAAGAATTTGAGGTGGAAGCAATCTTGGATTGCCGGAAGAGGGGTGGCCAGACACAGTTCCTGATCAAATGGAAGGGTTATGGCCCTGAGGAGAACTCATGGGTATCAGCCCAAAATGTTCATGCCCCCAGACTTGTCCGGGAGTTTTATCGCAGCCACCCACGGAGGAGAGATCATTTGGGCACCCGAAGGTTGCCCGTAGCGGGGGGGGCAATGTCAGGAGCCGCCGCGGCGTGTGGCTCGGCACAGGCGCAGTGTGCCGACTCGCACTGGTGTACGGGCACTAGGTTCTGGCCAGCCGCAGCGACGATGGAACTCGCGCATGCGCACTCGGGACCGTGGGCGTGCCTGGCACCAATGACAGCACAGGGCACGGTATTTAAATCCGCTCTGCGCTGACACTGGTTGCCGTATGGTCTCTTCTGTTTGTTCCTGCTCCTGTATCTGTGCTGATTGATCGTTGCTGACCCGGATTGTTCCTGACCGTTCTGTATTCTCCTGCTCTGACCCCTGGCTTGCCTGACCTCTCTTTTGGATGCCCCTCATTGGATCTGACCTTCCGTTACTGACCCGGCGAGTGACCCGACTATTCTCTGCCTGCTGCCTTGTACTGTGCTGTCCCCACGGTTACCAACTCAGCTTGTCTG